TCAGACCAATGCGTCGATCGACACACACTTTGTGTCGATCGATGCAGCAACATTATGTCGATCGACACACAACCCCGGTGTCGATCGCTGCAAACTGTGTTGATCGATACAAAGCAATTGTGTCGATCGACGCACGACGCAAAACTCAGGAATCGAACCTATCCTCTCATGGATCGATTCCTGATCGCATCACATCGATCTCCTGCACAAAATTCACCAATACAAGCACGAAATCCAACCCAAACAATACAATCAAACGCATCCTATCAATTCATTTATCCATATAAGCCATGGTCACGCACTCACCTCGAATCTGGAAGGGAAAGATGAAAAACCACGAAAAACACGAAGAACGGATCTCCAAATCTGAAATCCTCTTCCTCCTTCGCGAAGAACATACACTAGAACGATTCCAATAGCCTCACGATCACACTAACGAGCTTTTAGGATCAAGAACTCGAAGAAATCAACAATGATTTTTTCTTTCTCTCAAATCCTCTCTCAGAACTCTCTAGAAACTCTCTGAAACAAAAATTCGCGACCACAACCCTTTTATAAGAAGCCCTAGGGTTTCTCCCTAAACCGAGCCGAACCGACGATTAAAATCGAACCAACTCGGTCCAATTTAACTTTGCGTCAATCGACACACCCTTGTGTCGATCGATGCACGCACCAAAATCAAAACAACAAAGATTATCCGCATGAGGTATAGCTTGTTGCATACTCCTAGAAACATCCAAGCTCTAGTAAACAACAGAGTCGACTAATTATAGACTGCCTCCAACCACAAGTTTTAAAAACAAGCATAACTTTACTATTAACCTCATGTAAAGGCCACCGTTTGTTTCTAAAAATATTTTTTTTACATTGTTTCGAAATTCTTCACCCTAATAAGTGAAATAATAACATTTGTTCAATGGAGGTTTATTAGACTCTCTAAAAGAGAGATAATTAGCTTGTTCATATTTTTATTTTAAAAAATCAGTGCAACAATTCTAAAATATAGAGCCCTAACCAAAAGTTTCTCTCTAGTCAGCAAAAAAAGAAGACACGCAAGTAGCCTTTTTGTTAAAGCATTCGTAACGGTGATATCTTCACCGTTTCATGTTGTTAAAAAGTGACAAAAATAATTAAAAAACTAATTATTTACTAAATAATGTTCGGAGA